GAGCGCAATGGATACTCGCCTTGACGCAAGCGCCACTGGACAGTAAAAAGGGGTAGTTGCCCTTCGAGCGCAACTTGGAATTCCAAGAGGCCATGTGGCTGCCTTCCATAGTCATGTGCGACCGCGGCCATCGGCCGACGGTTTCAATTTAGGAGATCGCCTGTTTTGTTTCACACGTCAGGGCTGCTTGGGCTGCTTCGTTGCATGCACTGCTCGGCAAAGAACGCCGCGCATTGCAGACGTCGCTGCGCGAAGCCAACAGGCGGAACCGTGCCCGGCGCCCAGCCAGTTTTGGAGAGGGGCCGAAAATTTCGTAAGGAAAAGAAGTTGACTGGCCAAACGTTTGCGCAGAAGATTTTTCGCAGAGGTTCAAACGCGAAATGTACGACTTTTCTCACCACGAACTTTTTCCGGTATATCGTACCTCAATTTCCTGCCAAAGTACGGGCCTTGGAGGGCCGTTTCACTGCCGCAGATGCTCGTCGGTTGCGCCTTGGGCAGCCCAGCTGTCTAGCCGCGCCAAAATCAGGTGCACCCAACCTCCCGAATCCCGCTCCCCTTCGAATCTACCCCAGAGTCAGCCCCAATTTGGGAAGCGTCCCCAGCACCCAGGGTGCCCAGAATGTTCTGCAGCTAAACAGCGAAAGTGAAGCACTCCTACTCGCGAAGCAAACCTTGACGCAAGCCAAATTTGCAGACATTATTATATTTGGCACTCCCAGGAACCGGATAGAGTTGCAACAACGATGATATATACTCGCGAAGCAAACCTTGATGCAAGCCAATTTGCAGACATTATATTTGGCACTCCCAGAAACCGGATAGAGTTGCAACAACGATGATGGGCCTTACAAGGAATTTGTTGATGCACTGCTTTTCCATGTTGCTGCAAATTTTGTGCCCCGGTGCTCCATGGGCGTCACTGCCCCTGATGCCATTCACGCTGATGGGCCATGAGTTCTAGCATCTTACCAATCGCCAAGTTCATTAAAAAATATTGGGCCAGTACTGGGGGGGTGGATGGGAGTGGGGGGTGAACAAAGTACAGTGGGGCAATTACGTTATGCGGTTGATTGTTGTAGTGCCTGCACGGGAACCCTGTTGCGCGGCAGCGCGCAACAAGGGGTGAGAGAAGCCTGCCAGTGCGGGCGCTCGAAGGCCATTAAGCCGGGACCTGTACTTGGGGCCACACCCGAGCGCCGGTACCTGGGGGTACCCCAGGTACCGGTGGCCACCGCCCTAGTACCGGTGTAGCAACCCTAACCCCTACACTATCGTAACTGTAGCCCTATTTGGGCTAGTTATTCTAGGGGGTTGTCGATACCCCCGGGTACCGGTTAGTACGGTACAAACCCCAATTGTGCAGGACCACGGAAGTTGCATGAACCTGTTCATGTTGGTTCGTGTCGATCGCTAAGTGAACAACCTGGCCCACCTCGCAGCAAACGGGCGCTTGTCCCACCACTGGCAGGCTGCCAAGCCCGCGGTGCGTGTATGGAGAGAGCCAGCGATTGACCCGACGGCCTTTGGGCAAGGAGGCGCCTGCCAGATCCGCCCCATCATGGCGCCATCAGCCGCAACAGCACATGTCTTAAGTAATTTGTTGCACGCCATCATGGAACAATACCCTGGGGCAACTTGGTTTCCCTCTGCGAGATTTCCCTGTCATATCACGTGTGGACGGCCCAGTTGTGACACGTTCCTTGAGTGCTACTCCTGCCCACCCCCCACCCCCTGCCCACCCCACCACCACACACTCCGCTTGTACACACAAGTCCAAGGATTGCATGTGCGGTTATTGAGAGCTAGCTAGCTCACAAATGAGCCCAGCTACTATCCGATACAACACACCCTTGATTCACAGCGGAATGATATATGAGCAGTCCATTAGTGATCCTGGTGCCTCTGTGTCCATCCCACTCCCCAAAGCAAGTCGAAACTTTGGCTTGCAATACTAAGCCTGTCGCAACAGTCTCATACCTGAGCCGCCCAAAGCACATGCATGTTCCTTAATTCCTTGGATATTCATGGCTGTGGCGTACCCATAATGCTTACCACAGAATGCTTTTTGCAAGTTGCATGCTGTGACATTTGTGAGCTCAACTACGGAATTTTATCTCAGTGCTACTCGGTTGCTTATCTACCGCAGTATCTCAGTATTACTCGGTAATCGGAGTATCTCAGTATTACTCGGTTACTACTCGATTACTTAGTTAAACTGAGCTTCAGTTACTGCACTTTTGGTTACTAACCTAATGCACATGCCCGGGCTGTACACCACGAAACACGTACTTCTTTCTCTGGTGTCGTGGTTGTAAGCAGTATTCACACTATCTTTTGTTGACTTACGAGCATGCTCACATGGACTTTCTTGGAGTTTCCCGTTTTTTACTATATTTTTCCCTGTTTATGCCTTTTGTTTCTTTTCGAGAATTGTTACTTGCTGGGCATGTTTTTTTTATTGATTTTTGTTTATTAGTTATTTCATCAACGTCTCAAAGTCTCTTGATGTTTTGGCCGCACGATCATGTGTGCACTTGAATGACGTATACGTAATTGTTCATTTCTCTCACTATCCTTTCTCTGCCTGCTAATTCAACTCACCACCACTAACAACATCATCTAACAGTCAGCCCTCACAAGTCGCCTGTAGCCATGAACCCATGGAAACACCCAGTGAAACAACAGTCATCATGTGGCGTCATGGAAACAATCTATTCCGACGATGTGCACCCCCATCTGCCCACAACCATCGGCACCCGCGCAAGCCCCCGGCACGCAGCGCGGGCTGCTGGCCGAGACCACCTCATGGTGGTCAACGGGACCGACTGTCCCACAGGTCAGTGCGCTTGACGCTGTCGCACACCTCCAGCACTGGGTGCCGCCCTCCGATTGCACATCTCTCGGTGCCGTCGATTGGGTCACTGTTTGAAGAACCTCGCACTCTCATCGCCTCACCCTCCCCAGTTCCGAGGACCCCCAAAGACTCTCCCGAGGAGGGGCCTGTCCTTTGCGTAGATCCGCCGTCGCCGTTGGCCACACAATATTCACGGCTGGCAGAGGGTTTCTGGCCGCTTTCTTCGCCCAGCCTTGCAGGCTCGACCACCCATCACGATGCTCCCATCCCCTGCCGGCCCCTCCGGCAATTCTCCTCCCATCCCACCCCACCCCACCCTCCGCCCGATGTGACCTGGGAAATGGTCGGCCCACAGAGACTTGTGGTCACAGATATCTACCCGGAAAGCCGGAAAGGAGTTCAAGGTCAACTGGAAGGGTAAAAATGCCAAAAGCGTCCACCGTTGCCGACCATGGTCCTGGCCGGGACCTGGACGGGTGGGTGTCCGGGTTGCCGCCTACTCCGGGGAGTCGTGGTGTCGGTTGCCAGACGCATCGCGAGAACAGGATGCGAGGAAGGGGAGGCGCGCCTTTTGGCCGCCTTAACGCCGCACCAGCTTCCCCATCGATGGGTTCGGCCTGCCGCGATCGCCGCCCCACTCACCCCCTCTCTAGCATGTGCTGGGCCCGCACGCTTGAGAGGTTTTTATTCCCTTGTGTGCGTTTTGGGGCTATTGGCGTGGCTGCGCATGACCTCACAATGCCTCTGCATGGCTGGGTAGGTTTGTTGCCCATCGGCGGCACACGGGCGCCCACGGGCAGTTGCGGCGGCGGCGAGGGCAGGGGAGGGAACAGGGTGGCTGGCCGGAGCTCTTGTTGGGACGAGGCCACACGAGGCGGTCTCTCAGGACAAAAGCTGCACGCAGCACCGGTCCTCGTTTAGCAAAATTGTCTGCCAACCTTTCACCAAGCCCTTGACGTGCCGAGCCTCGAAAGCTTTCGCATGTTCAAAGGCACTCTGAGCTATGTTGCTGCTGTGTGGATGTTGGCATTCGTTCTCGAGTTGATGGTAAATTTCGTGCGGTGCATCACTGTGATTTACACACAGCCGTTCTGGCCGACGACTGTGGCCTTTGCGTCTCAGCCAGCCGCCCCATTCTGCGGGCATCGTTTACCTTCGCCGTGTGCTCATGTTCAGCGGCCTTGGTGCCCGTCATCGGCTGGAGGATGTCAAAGTGCTGTTCAAGGTCACCGTCACAACAACTTGCTGCTGCCGTTTGGCCAACCCGGTAGTTTAGGCGTCTGCGGATCCGCCCCAGCAATGCAGCCTCCACTGATGTAACTAAGCGGTGAATTGCGGCCGCCGCTTGGCCTACCTTGTAGTTTAGGCATATGCTTACCCGTCCAGATAGATCAGCCTTCTTTGACGTGTACTTCGGGGTGTGTCCCATAACATTGTGAGTTAATGTATGGCGGAGGCCGGATGCCGGCAGCGGAGGCACCGTAACACGCGGTGGCTTTCGCTCCCGGCGTTCAGCCTCCGCCATGCACGCACAGGACTCGGAGCTTGCTACCAGCACGAAAGGGAACCATACCAAGGATTTCGGCCTTCATTGACTTGTACCTCAGGATTGTGATTCACAACATGCAATGGCTTTGGCTCTTGCCATTCAGCCTCCGGCACACATTCACTAGCCTCAGCGCCTGCTGCCAGCACTCGGCCTGAAACTCGCCCACCCCTCCTCCCCGCCACGGCACGGCACAGCACGGCACGGCACAGGCACGAAGTTGGTCAACGCCGGTGCGCCGAATTTCTTGACCACACACGCCTCGACCACTCGACCACCAGCGGGAAGCACTTTCCCACCCAATCACCCAAGAGCCACCACTACAGCAAAATGGGATGAGCCCGTCCTGCCAACACGGCTGTGCCGCGGGCCGCCCCCATCGCGTCAGCTGCCCACCGGCGTCCCTCACTCCGTCCGACGCCCCCCATTCGCCCCACACACTTGCACCAACTACACGCACACCCGCGCTCACGTGCATTAACACGCCCCCACACCCACATCAAACACGTACTTATACCCCGCGCCTGATATGGGCCTCCACGCAGGTTGTTGCCGCTTCCCCCCCTCCCTGCCAAGCCTGCAGCACGGGAAGTCGCCATGCGCCCGCTGGCCTGCCAACGGGGAGTGGGCGCCCTTCCTGGGCGCCACAGCCATGCCTTGCGAGCGGGTCGTCCAGCCCGTCTTCGCGTGGTGCGTCCGTCTGCCACGCTGGGAGAGCGGCTGGACGATCTTGAGGAGAGCGTGGACGACCTGCGACGCCCCTGGTACCTGCGGCACCCGCTGGCCGGCCTGCGCCAGCTGAAGCGCTTCAGGGACAAGCTGATACGGGAGAACCTCTTCGACACGTCGCCTCCGTCCCTGCCTAGCACGGATGACTCCGTTCCTCCTAGGCCTGAGAGGACGGACGCACGCACGGCTGACGGGTCATATACCGACCTGGAAGACCCGAAGATGGGGATGGCGGGGGTGCGCTTTGGACGGAACGTGCCCTTCGAGATGGCCTACCCGGACCCCAAGTTGCTGGAGCCGAACCCCCGGGAGGTGAGCAGGCGGCTGATGACCCGGCGGGAGTTCAAGCCAGCCACAATCCTCAACATACTGGCGGCCGCGTGGATTCAGTTTCAGACGCACGGCTGGTTCGTCCACGAGAACGACGAGGAGAAGGAGCTCGAGATACCGCTGGAGTCAGACGACGACTGGGAGGCGGCGAGGGACGGAAAGATGGTGCTGAAGGCGACCAAGGCGGACGACACGCGGGTGGAGGGCGACGGCGGGCCGCCCACGTTCCTCAACAGTGTGACGCACTGGTGGGACAGCAACCAGATCTACGGCAGCGACAAGGCGACCATGGACAAATTGCGCACGGGCAAGGACGGCAAGGTGGGGAGGAATCCCTGGGCTGGGTGGTGGATTTGGTGCAGGGGGAGGTGGGCGGGGCGGGGCGGCGCGGGGGGGGAGGAGGGGGATAGGGGACAAGTGGAAATGCGGGTTTGGCCGAATCCACCCCCCAATGGTTGTGTGCTCGCGGCGCGTCTTGTGGCGCCTGACAGGCTGCCTGGGACTTGACTGCGTTCTCGTGCCGGCCTGCTGGGATGGCCACAGGGCGGTTGTGGGGTGGGTCGGCTTGAGTTACGTCAGGCGGGGGGGGAGGGCACGGCTTGTTGGATTTGCGTGCTTGGTCCAAAAGATGGCTGCGCTCCGGCTGTGCTGTCGGTGGCGGGAGTGGTGAGTTCGGCCGTGCCAGAGCCATACTCGGCATGAGTGCCTGCGGCGTGTCCCGTCCCGGATCCGGGACACGCCACCGCGCGGCCATTGAGGCGGGAGGGAAGCCCGGATGCACGCCGTTGACTCGATGGCGCTGACTGCTTGACCATCGCGTGGGTTGACCATGGGCCGTGGGGTTGACAAGGGCCGACGCGGGGCGACGACCGTTGGGCGGGGTAGGCAAGGGGCGGGGGGGGAGGGACGTCGCGCCACAGCACCCGTGGACAAGGGCGCTGGAGCATGCAGCAGCCCGCGCCCCGCAGTACAGAGTGACAGTACTCGGGGGCGGTTATGTACTGCGTTGGGGAGCGGGGGCGCTCAATGGTCGCGTCAGCGGCCAGATGCTCTCCCACCGACTGGACACGTATGGCATCGCCCCAGGTTGGTCGCGAATCAGTGTGAAGCTCCAACCCCCCAACACGAGGGCGCCCGGGCGCGCCCGTCCACAGGCAGCCCAACTGCGACCTGCGTGAGTAATCGAGCGAATTCAAATGAGCGCTGCGACTCGATGGCCTGCGTCGCGGTTGGGAAGTGGTGCCGCAGTTCTGGGCCGGGGGGCCCTGTGGTGGCCGTGCAATTGTCGCCACATCGAACCCTGGAGAGCGGAAGGGGGGTATGTCCCGCTGGCATCGGGAGCGAGGGTCGCTGATCTGTTGATTCAATGTACTGCGGGGTCGCCGCGCAAATGTACGCGGCAATGTGCGCAATTGTGCGGTAATGGTTTGTTGGTGTTGTTTGGAGTGCTGATCCCGTGAGAGGTGTGTGTGAAGGGTGCGTGGCGACGGTGGGCAATCGGCACGCTGCGAACATTGAGCCAATGGATCGATGATTGATTAAATTAATTAGTTATTTTCGTAAACTACGAAACCAGTTCATTAATCGATGTGTGAATAAATTGACTAAATGGCATCTTCCAAGTGCGTCTCGTAATTGGGAAGTATGGTCCGATATCCCTGGACGAGTCAGAAGTGGGGATCCAAAGGTCTTAGTTTTGCGAATATTTAAATACCCATTAAACTGATGAGTTGGAAAACTGTCAGGCTCACTGATACGTTCGCCAACTATTTAATGGATAGAGATGTTGAGCTGTCAATTGAATTGCCAAACTGATGACCGATTTGTGTCTTTCTGTCTTCCTAATATTGGCGCAGCTGGCCATCAGTAAGGACGATCGGATGCCCCCGAAAGAGTCTGGAACATTCCACAATGATGATTAGCTGTGCCAATGTTAGAAGCGAGAAAGCCACAAGTCAGAAAGGCACAAGTTAGAAAATCACAAGTCGCATTCGAACACACCTGCTCATTGACGATGGACTGCTTGGGTAATCAACCGAAAGCTCACAGTAACATGACGCCCATTATCAATGGACTAAATGTTAGATACCCTGATGTCGACTGCCCTGCCGCAGCTCATCATCGGCAGCGACGGACTGATTCCGCTTGACGAGTCCGGGCTGGACATGGCGGGCTTCAACGACAACTGGTGGCTGGGCCTCAGCGTCCTCCACACACTGTTCGTGAAGGAGCACAACTACCTGTGCGACGAGCTGAAGAAGCAGCACCCGGAGTGGGACGACGAGATCCTGTACAACAAGGCGCGGCTCCTCATCGCGGCGCTGTCTGCCAAGGTGGGGCTCTGCCGCTGGTCTGCTTTGAAGCAAACGAGAGCTTCATTCAGCTCCTGTCCTTTCAGCTTCCTATTCATTTCTACTTCATAATGAACAGATAAACGAGCCCTAAACGCAAGATGAGAGTATGCACCTCGTGCGCCGAAATTGGAATAGTGAACACATAATTGATAAGAATTGTGCTGCATGATGAAATTAGTTATAAAAATGGATGTAAGGAAATGAATATGTCGGAGCAATACCCTTCCGCACCAGAGACGTCAAAGTGTGGTCATCCTGTCAGCTGGATTTTGGGAAGTTTGAAATGGCTTACTTTCCGTTGTTTCCCGATAGTGCATGTTCAATGCTGCAAAGTTGTTACCCAGCCCCTTCGACAAGGCCCTGTCGCTGAGGCTTGTTGCATATCTTCTCATCACAGTTGTGCAGGCTTGACATGGCACCACAGGGCCATTTGGCTCATGAATCCCGGTGTGCATTGAGAAAGAGTCCCAATTATATGTCGTAACATATCAAGTCAATGCATATGGGATCCTGTTGAAAGCATTCACATTGAAGTACATTCCATTGTTGTTATGTATTTCGTTACAATATGCCACAAAGATTTTGGAAATTTAGCACTGTTAGGTAACAGGCTGAAACTGAGTGATGGGGACAGTGTTTGTCAGTACTGTGTTTGCCATGGGGTGGCGGGGGGAAAGGGGGGTTTCTACTGCATGCGTGTAGTCCATGTCCAGTGCATCTGGAGTCAGTATTGAATGATGCCTCAATGACTCGAAGTACAATGTCCATGTCAATCGTCTGACTAATTCTAACAGTCACAATTTTACAGAGAAGCTGGCCTTACACCATTTAGTATATAAGAGGAGCTGCATCAAGATTTCTCCCACTGTGCGTATTGGGTTCTGCTGCCCAGCCTGAAGCCTTACAAGGCAGGACAATAGCAGTAGTTAGTACTATAGTAGCGGCTAGTGCTAGCTGCACATTCACACACCTTTCAAAGCCTTCTGTAAAAGGATTGGTGTGAGCACCTTCTGCCTTGCGCTTCTGTTTCTGCAGACTTCTACTGAATGACGACGGGGTCTGCATGACAGGTGCACACCGTGGAATGGACGACGGCCATCATGCCCCACCCCACCACCACGCTGGGCCTTACCACCAATTGGTGGGGATTATTGGGGCAGGCCTGGAAGAACAAGTATGGGAGGGTGGGCGACAGCGATGTGCTGGGAGGGATCCCTGGAAGCCCGCAGGTGCAGCTACCGAGCGTGAGGGGATCAAAATTTGCATCAAGTTTTGTTTTAAACAACCCTGGTAACTGTAAAAATGCAGCCAGTGAATATGCCGTTTGTTAAAGGTTATTTCATTGAGGGCCCTGGCTTGGGTCTGTTCGCACGGTTCATTGACTGAAAACAGTGTTTCGGGGATGCTAAGTGCAGTGCCGTTTGACTCGAGTGGTGGCACGACGGTGATTGTGGTGGCGCCGAAGCAACTGTGATGGCATCGATTGGTGTCACGTGACATCGTAGCTGGCATGGCCCAAGTGGTGTTTTCTGCTGTTGGTGGTCAACAATCAACAGCAGCTGAGTTTATATATTTGTTTTGGTTACAAATACGTTTACAATACCAACCCGCCAATGATTGTACATTACATAATGATATAGCACTTGAAACTGCAATGCCGTTTCCTTGCAACGATCAGTCATGGCCAACGTAGCTGTCCATACGATTATGTACAATATTCTGCAGGCCGATTTGAACATGCATCCTTGCATCTGCTGACGGCAGCGTGTACTGATGCACACCCACAGAGCCACTGGGGCTGTCCGTACGCCCTCACTGAGGAGTTCACCACCGTGTACCGCATGCACCCGCTCATGCCAGATGAGTTTGAGTTCCGTCGCGTGGGGGGCGGCAAGCCCGTGGCCAAGAAAGACCTGTTCGAGGTGAGCAGCGCAGTCCCTTTTCCGTTTCTGTGACGATGAATTCTGCTGTGCATTTTGCATCATTCACGTCACTCAGCTGTGCGTTGCGATTTGTCATGGTTGCGTTCTGCGACAACGTGCATCTATTATTAGACACAAGCAGATAAATATATTTTGCATTTCCCATCCCATTCATATCCAATTCAGTCTGCCATGTTCCGCTGCATTCATCCCTATTCTTTCTATTCCATGCAATCCCAGTTGCACTCGCTTTATGCGCCTGAAAATTTCGCAATTTCAATCCATCATATCATGTTTTATTTGTCTCAAAACGCACCCCTTGGTCTGCCAAATAACAACATGGTATCAATTTGATTAAGATCAATATCTTCAATTCAATTAAGTTGGATTTAAGTCGTATTCCGACCTTTTACCCATTTTAAATCGAGTTCAAACCTCTTTGGCAATCTCTTTTGTTAGTTTTTAATACTTTTTGCTTTGAAAATGCACTCCCCAGGTCTCTGGAAAGAGCGCACGGCCTGTTATGAAGGAGGTCGGCATCGAAACGGCGCTGTACTCCTTCGGCACCCAGCACCCCGGCGCCGTGACGCTCCACAACTACCCCAAGCTGCTGCAGAAGCTGGTGAAGGACGACGGGGAAGTCATGGATCTGGCGGCTGTGGATATCATCCGTGACCGCGAGAGGGGCATCCCACGGTACAACGACTTCAGGGAGCAGATGGGCATGGACCGGGTGAAGACATTCGAGGAGATCAACCCCGACTATGCGAAGGAACTGAGCGAGGTGCGGCAGGCGAGAATTGGGCATTTTGCACTGTTTTGCGGGCGTAGTTTTGTAGCGCTGTGTTCAACAAAGTTAGGATATTATAGGCATCTCCAAACTGCCGCATGCCTATGCAGTGGGTAGCGCATGTGCGTCCAGTTGAAAGTCCCAATTTGACCTGCAGCTGTTACCAGGAAGTATTGGTCGTGCCCTTGGCCGTATTTCAACCAACGCAGGAAGTGTGAATTCGGAAGATACGACACTGGATTGGTGAGCAATCACGTGCCGGAGGTGGCAAACTGGTTAAATACGTGAAAGCTGGCAGCCATCAATTCAAGGGACTCTGAGTGCTCAAGTGCATGAATCGGACCTAGTAGTTCGGCGATGTCGACTCCAATGTTGAGCGTGGCTGGAGATCTTAATGATTTGATCGCTCCATTCACAAATATGTGCGTGGACACGTTGCTTCAGGTGTACGGCGATGTCGACAGCGTGGACGCCATGACCGGTCTCTTCGCGGAGAAGCTTCCAGAAAACTTTGGATTCAGCGAAACGGCATTCCGACTTTTCATCGTCATGGCCAGCCGCAGGATGAAGTGCGACAGGTGCGCTCAGCGCTGCCCGAGCGATGAAACCCAGCGCCCTAGCTTTGATATTTCCACGTCTGTTTTCGTGGCTGCATTTGACAAACATACTTTCGCTCCTCAGCGAAATGCGCTGAACAATTCAAATCGAATGCACGTTTTGCGAACAGAAGCGCCCTAGGCCTGAGAAAATGTCTGTTTCCCTTTGAAATTTCCAGCTTTTGACTTGCCAATTTATTGCAATGCGCCACCGCTAGCGAGAATTAATGTTCTCACCACTGCGTTCGCATTGAGACGGGAGCGAAACTCAACGTGAACACGGGCATTGTTCTGTGCTTGCCACAGCATATTTCTTCCTAATCTTTGTACTTCCATCAGAAGTTATCTTGTACATTTTGTGCCCAATCGTTGCGCCTCTACGCAGAACTAATGTTCAATAGATTTTGCGATAATAGCCTTGGATATGCCACAGGCTTGCAACACTCATGCCACGCGCTTCTCGTAGCAGTCGCAGCTACGAATGGTGCCTCGCCGATGTTCCTATACCCCGTTGAAGACATCTGGCCGCGTAGTTCCTCATTATATAATAAATCAAGTAAATGCACTTGATGAACAGTTTTCATATTGCTTTGCTACTTGACGGCATGTCAAATTGACTAAGATGTGAATTCCGCTTGCCCAGGTTCTTCACAGACGACTACACGCCTGAGGTGTACACTCAGTGGGGTCTGGATTACGTGGATGGCACGACCTTCGTCGACGTCATCCGCAGGCACTATCCGAAGCTCAGAAAGACTCTGGAAGGCGTCGAGAACGCCTTCGCGCCGTGGGACAGCCCCTGCAACAGGGACGGCCTGCAAGAAGTGGCGAGGGACATCGTGGAGATGAAGCGCATGGCCTGGAACAACATGGTGGGCAAACCTAACAAGGTTTAGCACCTAGTTGGGTCCCAACCCGCTGCGCTGCGCTGACCTGTGCTGTGCTGGAGTGTGAGGGGTACCTACGCCCCTCAAATGGCATGGGCATGGGAAGTGGTTATCCTAGAAAAGGGTCTGCTCTCGCATCTTGGCTCAGAGGCTTTGAGGGAAAATTTGGCTAGGTCTTGGACATCCTTCACATGTAAGGGCAGTTTGGGATGTCACAGTAGCAAGCATGGTATGCAAATCGACGGAGCTCGCAGCGATTGAGTAATGAGCGCCATGGGTGGCGTGGAAGGAGGTCAGGAATGATGGGTGCAGAAGCGGCGAGGCGATGGAGAAGATCAGTTGTGGCGTCCGCAGATTTGATGCGGTGACGTGGCCGGTTCGGAGACACTGGCAGGCGGTGCGTGGAAACAGGCAACAGCCCTACTCGGGTGCGAGATATGTTTGCGTTTAGTGCATAAAGGAGCACAATTTTATAAGTTCGTGGGGAACGGTGGGCCGAATGAACGACCACGTGCCTGGGGTGAAAGCCAAGTACGCGACTGTGTGGGGGTGTTGCGCTGGAATATTTTTGTTCATCGCCCAGCTGAATGTACTGGCGATTTTGACACTAAATCAACGGGAATGCATGATTTGGCAAGCGACTGCATTTCATTTTTGCGGCAACAGGGACGTTGTGTTCTGGTTTCGTGCAAGTTTCTCCGCATGTTGCAATGAATTCGGCGCAGTGGACTCCGTTGATGCTGCTGGGGCGAGTGGCGCTGAACCAGCGGTCAGGACATTGAAGACGCGTGCGGCATCATTTGGTGTTGTTGACTTGTTGACCTGGGGGATTTTGGATCGATTCAGCTAATCTGTATCGGTACTCTTGTGCACCTTGGTGTAAATACGGTTGTAGGACGCTTCACTGTGCTTGAGGGCAAAGCGAGAGGGCTGCTACTGCCTACTGTGGGCTTGTAGCCGCCGCTTTGCCCGAAGCGGTGTTCTTGTTTCTTGGGTCTGTTCATGTGATGCCCCTGCCCCGCTGCTGGCGTCGAATAGCCCAAATCATTCTCAGGCACGATTCTCACAATTCTCAGGCACATTTTCGTGCTAGTTTTTCTAAGACCGGAAAGGAAAACCGGTTATCATCAATCCGTGTCAAAAATAATGCAAAGTCATTCCGGTGGACAAGACGACGTTGTAAGTTCGCTTGACGGTCATTCCCGACCTCCGGTTTGCTCCTCCGGTGGCTGGCGCGATTGAGGAGGGGACAGGAACAGATGTGACGTCCCCATGGCAACCCTGACAGGCTGCGAGCTCAAAGGAAAAGTCGGGGTTGGATGCGACATCCATTGCCCACGCGGCACGACGCCGCTGATCGCCTTATGATCACACGACTTCTGTTGACGCAAAGGTCGACGATAGCAAGGCAGGGAGCCTGTGCTCTCTTTGGAGATGGGGCCGATCGATCACAGAACAACAGGCCTTACACTTCGCAGCCCAGGCGCAACGATTGCCCGAGGTTGCCCAGACCCAGGGCAACAACGCTCTGGCCCCACTCGAAACCCCAACGCTCCCCCTTTACAAGTCAAACCCTAACTCGCCGGTACAAAGCAACACTCAGTACTGAACACCCTGCTGTCATGCCGCACCAACTCTCAAGCATACACTGATCCAGTTAATTGACTGCAGAAAGCCAGACCCTGTGTCATTTTCTGCAGCCCAAACTCTTCCTCCTGCACGGCATCCCGCACCGCCTCAAGCCATTGCGGTGTCTTCTTGGTTGGTTCCGTCTGAGCAAGCAACGTACCGACAAAACCCCCAAACTTGCAAACGCAAGTCCACCCTTCACTGCACTTCAACGTTGGCCCTGTCCAAGGTGGCCTGACTGCGTGGCACCCTGCCATTCACACTGTGGGCAATGCGTAACCTTGCAAACCGGCTCGCCGGATCCATGTGGATTGCTGCGTTTGCATAGCCTGCACAGCGTGCACTCGGCTCGCCAAATGCCTTCCCCTGCTTTTGCTTATAACTCCAAGACACGTCAGAACCCTAGCCATTGTACCGCCTACACTTCAGCAATGCATTACCACCCGCACCAACTTCAACTACGTCATCAGTAGTACATTGGATCATTCACTCATCAACTATCGACTCGCCATATCCATCGTTCACATTAAATCCTCTCAATCAGAATCACAGCAAAGACCTCTTTTCATCCAGTCTGACTGGACATCATTCGGGGTCACTCAATCCGCCTCTTGCCACGCTTGCCCTAGGCACCCTCCCAGATGGGCACAACCTCGTCGACCTGGGGGACCTCCACCCCCCTCAGCCATTATCGCATAGAGTAACATGCTCTTTCTTGCTCCAGCCAGTCGTCCACCTATCTTGCTTGTCGTTCATATTGTTTGCGGGCTGCTATCAGGTCTGAAAATTTTTCAGTGAGGCTGTCCGCATCCTTGGTGCCTGCCAAGAGGTCCACTCGAGCAGCCGCTTCTTGAAGCAATGGGCAATGTACCGTTCTGCCTCTGACTGTCCCATAGCAAGGGCATTTGAAGTGCTCTTTTGCCACCAAGTCTTCTACTCGGCGCTTCCTATTTCTGGCCAGCTCCGGGGTAGTCTGAATCATGGAAGGGTTGTGGGTCTTGACCTCTTGTTCAAGACGTTGGACCCCAGTACTGAAAACATCCAGCACTACTTCCAAGGCTTCAACGGCAGCCTTCCGCGTGAGCTCCGCCTCCCGCCCAATATCCGCAGCATCCACACCATCCACTTTCTCCAAACCATCCGTCAAATCGGCAATCAGCGATGCCGCTGCTCATTGCGTAGCTTCGTTTTGCAAAACAACCATCCTTGAGGCGACATGCTTCCAGCCAGGGCACGTCGTAAACGTGCTCTGCTTCAGGGCTGAAAACGTATTCGGCCCCACTCATGAGATGCTCCCTGAGGACCATGACTCATTCGAGCTCCGTAATGTTCGCTTCCACGTCCTCTCGAGAAGGTAGAACCAGATCGGCCCTTCTCTCCAGCACAACGGTCGCCTCCCAAGCTTTGATATTGCCGTTTGAAGTCATGGCGGGCAATTTTGAGGCTAGCGCACTGACCAGTAATGCCTAGGGTTGGATGATTGCTTGCTGTGCCCCATGCGTATACTTTTGTGCATATTTTTGAATCAAGAGAATTCAAAAAACATTCAAAAGAATGCCGGAAAGCACTCAGCAATCTCTCAGCAAAGTCACCTGGAGAGCCTCCCTTGGCTAGCAATAGATATGTCCCAAAAGTTGCCCTTCAGTGGCTTTCTATCTGAATCGCTTTGAAGGTGTTTGATTCCTCATTGACGATTGACACTTGTTCCTTGTGGCCCCCATATTGATATCCTTTTAAGCTCGCTTCTTTACTATTCCTGGGCAAAATAGACATACAATACATGAATGTATTGCATTTCCTCTCCTGTGCAGTTAGGTGTCTTCCTTGTTCAGTTCTGTTCACTCTCGAGGGAGATAGATTATCTTGCAGTCATCGTCCAGAAGCCTCAGTTTTGGAGGTCATTCCATCGCTCTACGGCGTATCGCCTGCTCCCCCCGCTGCATCCCAGGGGCGGCACAAGTCCCCTCCCGGCCGCCACGGCCCCATATCTGTCATCGCCCCATCGGGTGCCAACGCCAAAGCCGCTGTCTCACGGGACCTCTTGCATCCTTCACGGGGACACCCCCGATGGCGCACGACCTATTTCAACCGCCCGCGCCATACGTCGCCACACTGTGTGCAAGGCCGTGGCCCTGCTCGCACTACTGCCGGGGGACCGCACGTGCGGATCCCCAAGATCGCCTCCGTGGCCGTGTCCGACGTTCGGATGCAGATCCGCAACGTTGCCGTTCGGCCGTTCCAGCACGATCGGTCGGATCTTTTCCGTCACATTGCTGCACAGTGGTGCTCCCAGCCGCTCTGCACGCTCGGCTTCGACATCCGTGCGCGGACGCAGCCTCTCGGCGTGTCGGCACACCCCTGACGAGGATTCCCAGTGCTTTAGCTGTACTTCGTCGTGTCTGACTGCCCCCTGTCACGTGGTCGTAGCAGAACCGGGCGCTGTAGACTCATGGTATCGGGCGCATATCGGGGTACACATACAGATCGTTGACTGGAGCTTCCTGTAGCTGCAGTAGATCAGTCGAGTTGGAAGATTGAATCTCTCTGTGCGATGGTTATTGACTTCCCAAACTTGCATCTTCCTCTTACAGTCCTGGACCTCACGGGGCGCCAACTGAGCGAAGCACATATGAAGCGATTTTAATGTTTTCTCATTTTGTCATAGATTGGCGACCCGAACCATTATCAATCGATATCAATTCATCAAATCAAATCAGATGTGTTGGCTTGCCTCACCGCGGACGACACGTACAGACGCCACATTGGACCACAAGAAACGCGGATTCCGCCGTTTCGCACCGCTGCTCACAATGCAGCAGAATGGACGTCTACAGCCCCCATCGATCCGCAGATCAGAGCCGCCCCTCATCAGGGGGAACGCAGAAACGGATACCAAACATGACGATCCTGCTATCCGCTGCACTAGGAAAAAAAGGGCCAAATAACACGTGTTCAAACGTGTACAAAGTTTACGGGTTTGTGTTACTTTTGTGTTCTTAACGTGCAGAACTTTGATGAAATGTGTTTTATGTGTGTTCGCAAAAGTGTTATTTGGTCCTTTTTCTGTAGTGCTGATATTCCTGGTAGCGCACCAGAGATCCATAGCTCATACGAGTTGAAAGTTGGGGGACTCCACAAAACCCGGCCGCCGTGAAGATACAGAAAGCAGTCACTGGCATGCACCCATGATGACATAATCGCAGCCCTCCAGTTCTTCCGGTAGACTGGTGAGCCTAAAATGCCCCCCAGTGTACCTGCTCCCCAACTGCAAACAGTTTCATCGACACAATATGTACATCAAGATGCAAATCGCCCGGCACTCTCTTCCTGATTTCCAAGCATGTTTCATACACCACCTGAGCAAACCAAGGGGGCACGAGCCACAGCATGGCAATTGCAGCTCCTCAAAATGCTAGGCCTGATCACCTTCGAGCTTAACCTGGGCTCGCTCTCCGCCCCATCCTAAATATGTTAGGCAACTAAGCATTCCAGCGCCTTAAAACCAAAACAGATAATGGCCCCCAGAAATACACAGATGGCTCCGCCGCCATGGTAGCAGACTTCTGCTAAACGCACAAGTTGCAGATCCAAGGCAACGTTCGCATGCCCTTGCCCCTTGGATCCCTTCCATGATGCAACCTGGAGCCTACTAATGCTCATCGTATGCGAAAGTGGAGCCCCACATCCGTTTTCTTTTCCACATGACCCACGGCGCATTGTATTGTGTGTTTACCCATCTGGAAGGCATCCTCGTGCGCGCTGCTCACCGTTGCGGAACATAGCTTTGGATTGCGAACGAGGATTGAGGAAGCCACTCTTAGGATCTTGGCAAAGTGCGGCTTTGGGTGGCGTGCCAAGGTACCAATTGGTGCCAATTCCAGTGAATTCCATGGCGAGTTCATGTCGCGGCCAACCGCTGACCGTCAGGGCAGAAGACAGGGTTGCTGTAAGAGCCTGTGGATCGGTTTTGGTAGTCCGTACTTTGTGTTCTCGCAAGCTGCACTGGCGGGCAGGTAGGCACCTCTGAGATCGATGGCCTCGGGGCCTGAGGAGCCTTGGGGACCTTGGGCCCCACGCCTCCTTGCAACCAATGGCGCCAGGGCGGGCAAGTTGGCTCGTTGATTTGAAGGGGGGCAGCACGTGCCACAGACGCACAATGGCCGCGACATTACTGTAAAATTGTCAACCCTTCCGCACCAGAAGGTATTACTGTTGCGCTTT